CCTACAAGTTTGAAGTTACTGCAGGGACATATCTAGATTGAATTGAAATATACAGAGAACGAGAATGTACAACTTTTGGTAATACAGATGCGAGTTGATCATATGATCTGGCCAAAACTAGCATCTAGCTGGTGAAATTGTCAATGTGGATCCAGATCAGTTGCTTTAACGCAAGTTGAAAAATAGGTTTTGAAATGTTTGCGTCGGTTTCCATAGATAAATGTGTCTTGTCTTTCTTTTTTTTTGTGGTGTTTATTGAAATTCATGTGAAAGTGAAAGTTGTTTATATGAAATCCGTAGAACATCACATGACTCTGTTTCTCAAGACGTTACTCTGTATTATGATCACAATGGGTTGCTATAGAATTAAAGCTTGCGCAAGATAAGAGGAGCACCAAACTGTGGGTGAAGGGTGAAGACTGTGTAAGGAGCATGAACATAGGAAGGAGATAGCTCGAAGGAGAATCTCTGTAGAATCAATGCCATTGCCATTTTTGCCTCCGACATGGCAAAATTCTGGCCGATGCATATCCTCGGTCCCCATCCAAAGGGGATAAATGAGACTTGGTTCTTTGTTGCCTTTGAGATACCGTCTTTGAATCTCTCGGGCTTGAATTCTGCTGRATCGTTTCCCCACAGCTCYGTGTCGTGTTGGACTAGCAGAATAGGTAGAGTGATGTGAATGCCGCCTGGTAGCGTCATGTCGCCTAGCTTCGTCTCTTTGTGAATGAATCGGCTCAGGTGGGTTATTGGAGGATATAGCCTAAGGACTTCGTATAATATCATCGTCATCTGTTGGAAACATTCAGCAAAAACTCATCATAACACAACCAAAAGTAATCAAGTCACCGAAAGGTTTTTTGATTTGGTGTTACTTACAACTTTGAGGTGGTTAAGGCCTTCTGTATCAGGTTCTTTGTCACCAAAAGCTTGCTTCACTTCTTCTCGTGCACGAGCCTGCCAGTCTTGGTGATGGCTTAAGAGAACCATTGTCCAAACAAGAAGTACTGAAGTTGTCTCTTGCCCAGCGAAATAGAACAACTTGCACTCCTCCATCACATCCTCAATGCTCATTCCATTTCCTTTACCTTGCCCCACATTTGATTCAAGAAGTATACCCAGCAAATCGTTGCTTGGTGCTTCCCCAACTTCTCTCGCCGTTAACCTTTTGTTAATGATCCCTCTCATTATAACTTGGATTTCTCTAGCTGCTGCTTTCATCCTTCTATTACCCTTCGTTGGGAGATACCTACGCAAATAAAAGACACAACATTGTTCATGCCTCCTAATAGGTTGCAGTGCTAAAAGACCAAGAGTCAAGCCAGGCAAGTTTGAGGATTTATTTACCGATATCCAGGGATGAAAACTCTTCGTAAAGCTGGTATGAGGAGCTGTGCTATTTCTGCTTGGAGCTCAAAAATCCTCTGCCCTTCTTTGAAGCTGCTGCCAAAAGCAGTACGAGAGATCACATCTGCAGTCATACTCACAAGACCAGGCCAAACATTCACCTCACATGACGACCCTTTGTCGGAGACTATCTCGTCCCATTCGCCAACAACCTCGCTGCAGCTCTGGTGGAATGCAGGTACCATATTCTATAGATAGAAGGAGAAGGCACAAAGTCGTTCAGAGCCAAATGAACATACATACATATAAAGCAAGCTAACCCGATTTAGTCCTAAACCTTGATCTTCTCAAGATGGAAAGCTGGGTTGATGATTCTACGGTGTTTTGCCCATTTATCACCATCATAACTGACGAGTCCAGGGGCTACCAATCTGCCCAAAGGGAATGTATGGGGCTTCTGGAAATCATAGATTTTGTTGAACACTTCCTTGATTAGCTCAGGATCCATTATGGTGATGGCTGGTATAGGTCCAAGCCATGTAAAGAAAGTTCTTCCTGTTCCAACCACACAGAGATGCAAAAGTTGAAATCTTTCCCTAAGATCAGTAACTCTGCAACAGTTTCGTTGTTCTCTGTATATCTTTAAGCTGTAAAACAGAGAGGAGTCAAGAAACATACCGTGAGTCTTGAGCATTTGCAAGGGATAAGGCAAAACTCGTGATGTAATATCATCAGTTAGTTTGATGGGTTTGGATCTCGCCTCCATTAACATGCTGGAATTCTTTTTCACATCTCCAAAAAGAAGCGTGTAAGAAGTTCCGACAAGGCCTTGTCTTCTCAGGTAACTCTCAAGCATCTTAGGTTTAAACCAAACCCACTTCAGAGTTCTCCATACCCACCACGACACAAGAAGTATAGCCACTGAAACTGTTACCGAGGCAACTGATATTTCCATTTTTTTTTTCTCACAGGGAAAAGAAAGAGAGATGAATAAGCTGCTGACATGACATTCTCTGAATAAATAGATAGAGAATGCCCAAGATATGGATGTGGTGGTGATGGTGATGACATCAGGAGTGATGTCATAAAATCCTTTATAGTTTGCGTTTTGGACAATCATTTTGTTGTGTCCGTTGATCTTTTACATTACTTGGGAGCCACACAGTGACATGTCATAAAAGGCGGGCACAAGAAGCAAATTTGGATTTGTGTGAAAACTGAAAAAACCTTAACTTGTAGGAGGAAATGCATGAAAAAGTCTTTTTGTCATTCCTTTGTCACTGCATACAGAGAAAACAAAAACTCCGCCACCAAAAGCTATTACCTCCACATACCATTTAAAGCCATCGTGAACGTGACTATGTAAAAAAGCCATCGTGAACGTGACTATGTAAAAAGTATTATTCTTTTTACTTTCACAAAACTATGTAAAAATTATATGAAACCCTCCCCACCCACTAGGTACGGTTAATCAAGCTGATTGTTTTAAAACAGTGACGAATCGGTTGAATACAATTCGATCCCGAGGGGATAAGCGATTTGAGGAGAGTGTAGTGTTTTGGCTTAACACTCAAACAAATTAGATTGATTGATTTCACGTTCGAAAGTTTACTTATGAAACATTTTTTGTAAAACAGGTTATTGGTTGAATATAATTTAACATTCAATTAAAATATATATATATATGAAACCAGCTAGGATTGGTCCACTGACTGATCTTCTCACGGTGAAAAGCCAGTCCAGTGGCTAGCAATCTCGTCAATGGGAGTGTATGCGGTTTCTGAAAATCGTAAACTCTGATGAACACTTGTTTGATCTGCTCTGGAATCGTATGAAATCTTTATTTCTCCTACGTAGAACAAGTTTATTTGGTTATGGAATTATAGCTTGTGCAGAATAAGATGAGCACCGAACTGTGGGTGAATGGTGATGACAGTGTAAGGCGCATGAACATAGGAAGGCGATAACTCGAAGGAGAATCTCTGTAGAATCAATGACATTGCCATCTTTGCCTCCAACAGAGCAAAAGTCTGTCCAATGCATATCTTTGGTCCCCACCCAAAGGAAAAGAAGGAGAATTGGCCCTTTGTTGCCTTTGAGAGACCGTCTTTGAATCTCTCAGGCTTGAATTCCGCTGCATCGTTGCCCCATAGCTCGGTGTCGTGTTGGACTAGCATAATAGGTAGATTGATGTGAACACCTCCCGGTAATGTCAGATCTCCTAGCTTCATCTCTTTGTGAACGGCTCGGCTCAGCTGAGTTATGGGAGGATATAGCCTAAGGACCTCATATAGTATCATCGTCATCTGTGAGGGATCAAAAACCAAATCAGGAGTGATCATTAATACACAATAAAAGTAGTTATGTTACTTACAACTTTGAGTTGGTTATGGCCCTCTGTATCAGGTTCTTTATCGCCAAAAACTTGCTTTACTTCTTCTCGTGCGCGAGCCTGCCAGTCTTGGTGTTGGCTTAACAGAACCATAGTCCACACAAGAAGTACTGAAGTTGTCGCTTGCCCGGCGAAATAGAATAACTTGCACTCCTCCATTACATCCTCAATGCTCATTCCATTTCCTTTAGCTTGCCCCAAATTCGATTCAAGAAGTATACCTAGCAAATCGTCATTCGGTGCTTCCCCAGCTTCTCTCGCCGTTAACCTCTTGTTAATGATCCCTCTCAGTATAACTTGGATTTCTCTAGATGCTGCTTTCATCCTTCTGTTTCCCTTTGTTGGGAGATAACTATATCCCGGGATGAACGCTTTCCGAAAAGCTTGTACGATGAGTTGTCCTAGTTCTGCTAGAAGCTCGAATATCCTCTGCCCTTCTTTATAGCTGCTGCCAAAAGCAGTACGAGAGATCACATCTGCAGTCATGCTCACAAGCCAAGGCCAAACATCCACCTCACATGACGATTCTTTATCCGAGACTAACTTACCCCATTCACCAACAATCTCGCCGCAGCTCTGGTGGAACGCATGTACCATGTTCTATTCACAGAAGCAGAAGGTACAAATTGTGTCAGCTGAGTGATACATTAAGCAATATTACCCATATTCGAAGCTATGAAAGATAAAACCTTGATCTTCTCAAGGTGGAAAGCCGGGTTGATGATTCTCCGATGTTTCACCCATTTATCACCCTCATAGTTATTTACTCCAGTGGCTATCAATCTACCCAAAGGGAGTGTACGCGTCTTGGGGAAATCATAAACTCTGTTCAACACTTCCTTGATTAGCTCAGGATCCATTATGGTGATGGCTGGTATTGGTCCAAACCATGTAAAGAAAGTCCTTCCTGTTCCAACCACATAGAGATACAAAAGTTGAAACCTCAGCCTAGATAATATTAACCTAGGTTGCAT